TTCGACGCTCATTAATCGAAAGTATTTTTGTGGTAGGAGGTGGCGCTATTATTATGGGATTGCTGTCACGTCTAAGAGCCGAAATGCAGTATTTAGCAGAAAAGGATGAAGAATACAATAAGAAACTATGTGGCGATATCAAATTTAAATTTCATAAAACAATCGGGAGAGAAAACTTTACAGCCTGGCTGGGCGGCTCGCTTTGCGGCGGTACTGATCTCATACAAACGCATTCGCTTACCAAGGAAGCATACGTGAAGAGTGATCGCGTACCAGACTGGATTAGCTTAGCAGATAAACGTTCGACAGGATCATAAGCCAAAGTAAAACAGTTGAATTTCTAACGTTCTACAATCCGTACTCGCATACTAAATTAGGCATACATCATTATTTAATAGAACACATCGCACATCTTCAAAAGAGGCACAACTGAAAAATCAGATCCGAAAATATAACCATTATACAAAAACAAGTACAACAGTAGTTTTATAGTTAGAGAATATCGAGCCCTAACGCCCAAAATAACGTAAGCAACATTTTTTTCAAAATTTCAGAAATATTCCTAGAGCATATAGATGCATTTCTGCATCAAAAAGAAAATTTTGAAAAAAATGTCGCTTACGTTATTTTGGCGGTTAGGGCTCGATATAATCATTAAGAAAAAAATGTTTGCAGTAATTTAAATAAATTCTACGAATCGATTAATGTAGAATCAATCGACAAAAATTTTTTTTAGTTGTGGCCCTTTTGAAAATATTATGCTATATATACATACATCGTTAATCTCAATGCGAAAGGTCCTATTTACCACTTTTTCTGAAATGTGGTTTTTTAGATATTCCGTTATTTGTTTCTCAGATGCACTCATTTACCGAAATTGAAAGATAACTGCGCACCATGGAAGTCTGTGTACATGTAATTTGTCTATTTAGACGAATTTTTGCTGTTGATGAATAAAGTGATCTTCAAAATTTATCATAAACAATGAAATGAAATAAGTTTAAGAAGGCAATATCAAAATTATTCAGAATTCATAAAAAGAAAATGTAGGAGCAACCATGATAACAATATATGCTATGTTTTTATCATGGGAGCAACTGCTAAAAATTACTATAGGCTCAATACACATTGTCATGATGTTCTCCGCATTCAACCAGTTTAAGGTATTCACATAAAATCACACTTGCCGTCATGCATGTACACAACATGAACTTCATTTGATTGTTTTATAAAGCAGCATTAACATTTATTGCCCCAAACCAGGCGCAAAAATTACTTTGCGATTGTATTAGGATCAATTCTTTCAGTGCACGGCTTTGGTTTGAACTTAGTTTAAACGCTCAAGATGGCAAACAGTTTACGTGATCCAACCCCCCTATTATGAATTCATATGGGGCGAGATAAACGCTTGCATTCTGTTAATCCCTATTGCGAACCGATTTTTAGTGTGAAATCCGATAGTTAGCGTGGCTGATTTCTGTTGGTTCACACGGTAAAATTACCGTGGATCCACGGTAAAATTACCGGTAATTTGGTAATTTTTACCGTGGATCTACGGTAAAAGTTACCGTCAAATCTTGTATGACAAATTAAGTAATTCAATCAAATAATTAAATTTAAATAAAAAGTAAAATATAGATCAACGACTTAACCTGAAAAATAAATTGTTTTTACTTTCAATGCAATTTTTATATATCGACCCGTATTTGCGATTTCATCGTAAGCAATAAACAATTTTTTTTTGTTGCAAACAGGTTACAAATACTATGCAAAAAAAGCACAATGAATTTTATCGTTTGCTGTCTATACTTTTTCGTTCCTAAAATTTTATCGTAAGCGACACTGCGTGTACAGAGCTTTAGTTTTAACCGAAGTTCCATCGGCAGATGCAACAACTGAATGCTTCAAAATCAGCTTCTTTACCTCATCATTTTAGACATTTAGCTTTAAATATGTTCAGCTTATTCTGCGGATTGGCAGTGTTTATATTTAATTGACTTAAAATTAAGTTTTTCAAACTATCCTTAAAGTACCGATTATACAACATAAAAGCTATCGCAAGCGCCAATTTTTTTATAACTTACCTCTCAGCATGTTCAGGAAAAATATCGTAAGCGCCATTTTACCTTTAAACAATAAAATCCATAAAAATTGTTGCACTGTTTAAGGGAGAGTTAAAAAAAACTGTCGTATAAAATTTACTTTTTGTCGCTTAAGATAAAATCGCGTATACTGTAGTGTTTTAATAAAACAACTTCTCCAGATAAGTTGGCCATTTTGTGTTTAAAGCAATATTTCATTTGGTTCCCAAACAATTTTTTAACGATTAGATAGCTATAAGCGGGGTTTAAGATGCCCTAATAATAGATGCAACTTTTTAAGGGCGACATATTTTAGTCCAAAGTCGAACATTCTAATACCATTTAAGTTGTTTTATAAAAATGTCACAAATAAACACTAAACATACATACATATTTACGTATTTACATACATTTGTGTACGTTTTTTTTTTACATTATCAGCTTTGTTAAATTAGAATCCCCTTGCTTAGGAAACTAGCATATGTTTTTGCATAGTCTTCCATGCAATAACTTGCGCAACGTCTGCAAAATTAATTGGTATCTTTATAATTGTCATAGCAGTAACTAAAATATATTATAGAATTTATTCAATACATCTATTGATATCCCTATGGACTGGGCGATCTTTGAGCCCTAGATAAACGTTTTTTTCATAGTTTAGAACTAGTTATCCACTCGCCTTCCGATTGAAACTAACAGACGACTTCATTCGCTCTACCCCTCACCGAAATGCGCGTTACAGACACTTTAAGATTGTTTGAGATATGGATTGGAAATCTATTCCGACAAGCCATAAGCTTAATCAAGAACAAGTCCTGGTTTCACCTTGATATTGGCCGGCGAAGCCATTTTAGGCAGCAGTCCTTGTTTTGTTGTTAAATTTAATCGCAATCTTGCCTCATCTTCTCTGAGTGCGAGCATATTTCGCGTACGCGTCTCTTCATTATCATTCTTATGTAAAGCAAAGTGTACGCGCAGCTCAGTAGCCAGTCGGAAAGCGCTCGGACACAACTCACATTTATAAACATTTTCACCGAGGTGATTTCGCAAATGTTTGATTAGATCGTTACTTTGGGCAAAAGCGCGTTCACAGTAATTGCATTTGTAGGGCTTTTCGCCGGTATGAGTACGCATATGACGCCGTTGATGATCCATACAAACGAAGCTATGCGGGGATATTTAAAAATTATCATGGGATTGGTGATTTTTTTTTTCAAACTTACCACTTCTCGCAGTATTCACATTTGTATGGTTTATCGCCATTATGATACATTTTATGTTTCTTTAACTGATACGGTTTACCAAATGCAGCACCACAAATATCACAGATATTTCGCTTTATCTGAAGATGCACGGCTTTGTGTGAAGCCAAGTCGCTGAGACATGGAAATTTCTTGGGGCAGTCAGGACATTCATACCGTTTAACACCAGTGTGCCGTAAGAGATGCTGTTTCATATTGCTGCGAAAAAATTATTTTAAACAATTTTGAAGCAAAAAAACAAAAACAAACAACCGAATACAATTCTCATATACAAATTTTGAAGCTCCGCTAATATCTTCAAGATTCAATGATCGCAACTAAACCAAATAACCGTCGGTAAGAAATTAAAACTACTTTTATTTATTTGCTGCAGGATTTTTAGATGTACCTTGAACTGTTAAATGCTTTCCCACACTCCGAACACAAGAACGGCTGCTCTCCGGTATGTGTACGTAAGTGATCCTTTAAAGTGCCAGATTGTTGAAAGCCTACAAGCATTGTTCACATTTATACAAAGTTGACAATGTGGTTGTTCACGCTTGCCAGGTTAAAAAGAATTATTTTTAAACAGATAACCAGGCAAGCGAGAACAACCACAATGTAATTTGTTAATAAACTTACTTTTATTGCAAAATTCGCAAACATACAGCTTTATGTCCGTCTGTGGGGTTTTTTCAAAATGCCGTTGTCGTTTATGTCTCGTCAGAGTACGCTGTGAAAGGTATTGCTTTTCACACAAGTCACATGAATAACTGGGATTTTTTCCCTCTGCTTCAGCTTTCTCATCATGTGTCAGCCTATGTTTGTATAATCCTTCAGGTTTGTTGAATCTCCGGTTGCAAATATCACATGCAAGTTGATAATGCTGGTCAGTATTCATTGGCTGAGGGGGCAATTTTTTTCGCTCCTCCCATTTTATATGCCTTTTTAGGTGTCTTTGTAGAAATCGGCGGGATGAAAACGTTTTATTACACAGGTTACAGGTATGTGTGGATGACCTGAAAGTAATATTATACATACAAATATGGAGATCATCTTATTTTTTATTTAGTTATACTCACGCTTCTTTTGCTTGTTCACACCGAACTTTTCTAGATTTGTTCAAATTAACTTTAACTTTCACATCAGTCCTTAAAAGGTTTCTGCCTTTTCTTGCTCTCAGTTTAGGCTTATCGCATGTCCGATCTCCGTCTAAATCTTCCTTGCTTGAACCCTCCACACTCGTTGTTGACTTGTCTTGGACTGCTGCTCGTGGCCCCGTTTCGATTTTCGTACGTAGGTCTCCAGTTACAGACTTCAAATCTAGCATTGTTTCGTGTGTACTATAGTGATCAGTGCATATATCTTCATCACTTAGCTCCATTTTGAGGTATTCACAAACACGGCTTGGAGTATCGTCTTTACAAGTTGTCCGTGATTCGCAAATGCTTTGTAGCGGGTCATTAGCGCCCGTAAGTGGCTCATCAGGTGCAGTAGTTACAGGCTCACTCCCAATTTCATCATCTCTGACTTCTACAATTGCTTCTATCATTGAAACCTCTGTCGTCATCACTTTATCCTCTGTTATCAGTTTTACATCTGGATATTTTTTAGCTAGTACTTTGCGCATTTCCTGATCTGATTGCATGCACATCTGCTGGAAACGATAGGCGCTCACTAATTGCTCCAAACATCCTCGGCACATTTTGTTTGGTAATTCGTCACTGAGGTTGACTTCCAGACACGGGGTAGTGCTAGCTAGTAATTCAATTATGCGCATGTTTCCGCAGTCTGCGACTATATCAAAGATGGGTTTCCACTGTTGCTCAGGTTGCTCGGCAGTTAGTTCAACTGTAGAGGTAACTGCGGCCGCATCAGCCACTTCATGCATGCAAGCTCTACAAAGGAAATCGAAATGCAATTCACTTACTGCGTCCATACCTGCATACTATGTTTGTTTACACAAATTTTATAAATTTGTTTAACTTTTTCTGCGTATTTTTTCAAGAAAAAACAACTAGGGACGTCGGAAAATCATTGATTCATCGAAAATATCGATGTTTTGCTTCGATAAATCAAAACTTTTCCACACGATGTATTACCCTGCAAAAATCGCGCCTACACCATGCATGCGTGTAAAGAGTACTCCCTGAGGACCAAGGAGTACCCAAAATTAACCACAATTCATATAAAAAATATGGTCCAATTAACATTGCGATGTCCTAGGGCAGGACCATATACTCCATCCCCGCATTACATCAGAGTAGCACAAAACTACTCCAACATAATAACAATGGCATTGTTGCTATATTTTTTCGTTTGTACACGCTTTTGTTCTTCACTTCTCAAATACTTTTTCGAAATTAATAAAAACCAAGACAAAAATTAAAAATTATATGTTGCCTCTGACGGTATTCGAACCCGAACATGCTGGGAGCTAAGAACTAACAGCGAGCATCTCTACACGTTCAGCTACAGCCAGACATGCAAATGTGCTTTCAAATGCTCAACTTCAATCACGTGATTCAGTGATCGAATAACAAACAATAAGCTAGCGCAGAGACACGAGTTGGTCCGCTACAGCATGACAGAGGAACACTTTTGTAAGTACTCCAATTTACCACAAATAGACTACATGATCCAACGATTTTTGCAGGGTAATTGTAGATGTATCGATGTTTTTTGAAAACTGTCAGTTCCAGTACATTGAAGCTGATGCCACATACATAAAACGTTTGTTTCGCTTTGCGTAGCAGATTCGCTTTGACAGATAAGATGAATTGTATGAAAATGCACAAGGCATGTCACATGGATCGTTAAAGAGCGAAATACACCACACAAGCGGCTTGTCAAACCTACTTTTCCCATTTCGCCATACACCATGAAAACATGAGTCATTCAAGCACAGAATTTTAGTTTTCCTCCGGTTCACAATGTTAAAAATGTTGGTTTTCTTCCATTTTTCTCCCTTACGTCCTCACTTGGTGAAAATTCAGCAACAAATGAGGCGATTTTACCATCCACATCGCAAGCGGTTTGATCAAACGTCAACATGGCGGCCAGAAAATCAAAAAATTTTGATTTTTGCTCAAATTTCCCTCAAGCGGTTTGTCAAACCTTCAAACACCCCCATAGACAACACAAATGGATTGAAACAAAGGGATATTTCGCTTGGTTTGTCAAGCCGCTTGTGTTGTGTATTTCGCTCTTAAAGCTGCAGCGCGAAGCGAACAGATGGCCAACTCCCATTCTTTTGCGCGTTTTGATTATCAGCCGGTTATTTTGTTTCGTCCAAATTCGAGCTTTCATGTAGAAACATAAAACCTAATAAATCCACAGCAATTTTGACGAGTAAAAAAAAGCAGAACAAAATTGTTTTCTTGGCGTTCATTGTGGCAGACCTTTTGCGTGTGGCGCTTTGCTGGTAAAGTTATAAATGCCACGCAAAGCCACAAAGTTTTATTTGGCATCAGCTTGAGGGTCTTTTTTTTAGTAGACGGCTGTGATTTACGGATCTAAACTGGGGTTTACATAGGACAATTTCGCTTTCTGGGCTGTTTTGGGCACCTGTGGGCTCGTGTGGAACAAACCTAATACATCGATATATTTTTGTCATTTTTGCCTTCACCGGCCGTGATTACACTATCGATATTTTCCGATACTATCGAGAGCCACTATCAATAGTATCGATATCTCGAAATTTTAAAGGCTGCATTTCTTTATTCATTCTGAACGTTTGGAATAAACTTTTTTGTTTATTTATTCTTTAGAACGTTCCTGATGATATGTTGACGTACATTTCAAACGCATTCTGTTTATTCCGGCTGTGAAATGGGATTATCCGGAATGTATAAAGAAACGCAGCCAAAATGAACATACCAAGGCGAATTTATACAAGGTTGATGGCGAATTAAATTTTCGCTGCGGTACTACTGAATGTCAAAATGATGTGTTTGTTGTAAACAAGGCGAACTCATTTTACAACAAACACATCATTTTGACATTAAGACGTACCTCGGCGAAAACCTAAATTCGCCATCAACACCACCTTGTATAAATTCACCTTGGAACATACTTATGGACTGCACTGTTCTACACCTTTTTTGCACCAACTGAACACAGCTAATATTACATTTACATTGAGCCCAAATGCGTCATTTGGGCGAGAAACCTCAAATGCGAGGCCAAATCACGCATTTCTCCATACAAATTCACATTTCCAGAATGACGCATTTCGACGCATTTACACAAAATCACGAAACAAATGCGTTCCAATTGCCGTACTATTTTATTGAACGCACTCAGAAACAAAAGTTCCACAAAAGCTTTGGTTTGTCTTTGACATTTGGAATTTTTCAAACACAAAACAAACACAACGAAATAAATAAATCTTTGAAATTTGTGTGTAAAAATTGTTAATTTATACAAGAGCTTTACACATTTTTAGTTTAATCAAAGAATAATTGCCTTTTTGTGTCCAAAAAGCGTTAACAATATAATAAATGTAGTGTTTGTTTACATACATTTTGTTTTTGTCTTCCCTTTTCATTTGATGAGAAGTCAAAGCAAATGCGGATCAAGCAGTGTAAACACCTTCAAATGACTGATTTCAAATCACGCATTTTGGTCCAATGTAAATGTAATATAAGGCTACTCGGGGATATTGAAATATTAGAAGGATAAAGATAAATATATAAAATCCACAGCAATTTTGACGAGTAAACAATCAGTACAAAATTGATTTCTTGGCGTTCATTGTGGCATACCTTTTGAGTCTGTCGCTTTGCTGGCAAAGTTATAAATGTCACGCAAAGCCATAAACTTTTACCTGGCATCAGCTTTATATTGAAGTTTTGATAATTTTTAAAGAAATTAATACCTGCCTTTATTAAGTAAAAGGAAAGTACATAACGTCCATTGCGTCACCGTCACCGTCAGTTGTCAAAAAAGTTGAACTGGTGTATTTGTATGAAGTAAGTTACATTAACAAAGCTGAAGGTGACGGTGACGCACAAATTAGTTCAACTATCAATTTAGCTTATGCGTCTGCGTCAAGTGACAACTACTCTGTGTTTTGTTTACATATTTGAACTAAAATTTTACGGATCATGGTGAAACGAATACATAAAGTGGCGCTGATTTTGATACCGCTAACTTTCTCTTGAAAATTTTGACAGAATACGTCATAGGAGATTTTGCGTAGGGCCTGTGTATTATACATACACATACACACATGCAAAACATATACATACTGATAGATCTCTCTCAGCTCTCTCCACCGGCAAATCTGCGATGATGTCATACTCACGATACTCTCTCGAATTTCACATCAATCAGCGCAATCTTGTATTATATCGGTCTTGTTTACGGATAGTATGTTAAGCTGGAACTCCATAGGCAAGCGTATGCGAGGTCCGTTACGCTTACGTGCGTAAAAACTGAACAACTTTATAGTGTGCGCTTACAAGCGTTTGACAGTTGTCATTTCGACAACGGTGACGGTGTCTGTGACGCATTGGACGTTGTGTACTTTCGCTTTAATGAACATAAAATTATAATTTTTAATAATTAAAAACTTGATATTTTATCAATTAATTGCATGCGATTAGGCACTGCAATTTAAAACTAAATGCTAAAATTAAATAATTCAGGAAACACATATATTCAATACCCATAGAAGGTAAAATTGCGATTCTGGTATAAAAA